TATCCTATGTTCTAAATGGAATGCTGAAGGATGTGAGTGCCTATATATAAAACTGTAGTGTTGGTTTCATTACAGTCACTTCTGTCAAAAAAAAAAAATTGTCTGGTTGTTTGACTAGACTCATTTTGTTTTTAGTCAAATGGACTATTATAACATATGACTTAATTTTGTATTTAAAAATAATCTCTGGCATTGAAATGTTCAGGTACCTTATTTAATAATATCCTCTCATCCTCTCTGAGAAAATGGAAGTGCATTGTTTTCTCTTTTTAATTAAGAGGAAACTGTCTTAGAGGATACTGACCTACCCAAAGTCATGCTTGTGGTCACTCTTTTTTATGGCCCCTACTTAGTCACTGTGAACCAATAGAGGATCACTAGAAACAAATCATCTAAATGAACCTCGTTTTCCCCCTTGAGAATGCTATTCTGATGGCTAAAGGGACTGTCACAAACACAGCCTTATCCTCTTACCAGAAAAACATATGAAAAAGTCTCCTGTGATGTCCTTTAGGGAAAGGTAGAGAAGTGTATGAGTCAAATGATAGTAATTAGGTGAATTGGGAGCTGATCACATCTAAAAAGAGAGGATTAATGGACTGTCATTAACTTGTAATGAGGTCTAGGAATTTTCCATCAGGCTGTATATTTGGTCCTGTCCAATTCAACAATATTTCAACTACCTGGAAGAAGTCTAGGAACTTGCTTACCAAATTTACAAATGACACAGAGCTAGTAAAGCAGTAAAATTAGTAATTAGTAAAAAACTTGACAGAATCAAGTTTCACAAATGGCTGTTACTTAGGGTGAAGAGTTGTATTAAGGACAAAGACATAGCCCCGTATTTAATAAGAAAAAAGTTGTACTGAGTGGATCTGAACTAAGAGCAACTGCTTTTTTGTTTTGTTTTGTTTTTTAAGTTTCAGGTCTTACTTAGCCACAAGCATGATGTAACTACTGAAAAGGCCAACACAATCTCTGTTGACATTCAGAGAGAGAAAGAGTATGTCTAGTTGGGTAAATGTACCTACCCTAGTTACACCCATCTTGAGTATTGTGTGCATGTTTAGAAACCATATTTTAAGAAAGATACCGAAAAGTTGTTAGTTTGCTGGATGGAGAGGCCTTGATAGCAAAATATCAGGGACGCATGCAATATGAAAAAAACTGGAGTGGTTGACTATAAGAGAAAAGGCCTCATGATTGTGATCTTCATTGAACACGCATTGTACAAATTAATTACTTAATCCTCAAGGCAACATCATGAATTATTTATGATCATTACTGATATAGGAACTGAGATCACATAGCTAGACAATTTGTATTCAAATTCAGGTAGTCTACTCCAGAACCTATTCTCTTAAACACTATGCCACATTATTTCTCCAAGAATTCGTCAAATGTTTGAAATATTGCTATGTGAATGGAACATTAGACTTATTTTGTAGAGCACCATTATCAACAGATGGGCAGACTAGGGTTATATCTCAAAGTAGAGAATTCTTCTGAACATTAGGATATGGTAGTACATCTATTTTTTGGTACAATATTAGACTAGATGAGCTCTCAGGTAACATCCAACTGTCAGATTCTAATTAACTGGGATATGATTCAATTAAACACAGCAAGTATTACAAACAGGAAAAAACAACAACAACAAAGGATCAATTTAAATTGATTAGTAGTAATTTAAATGATATTGTCTTGAGCAGTTTAGAAAGTGCCCCACCCCATATCCCATCTTGCTAAGATGTTCTCACAATGTGTCCTTGGTAACTTTTCTGGACAACAAACTGTTGCCCAAATTATGCAAACTTTTGTTTCTCCATCTTTGTACTGTATCTAGAATATTATCAATATTATCTTACATGCAAACCCCCATCCAAGGAGATTATACTGCAAAAGTAACAAATGTCATTTAAAAACCCTTACATTTGGGGACTCCTACAAGTTGCTTGACATATTGAAATCAACAATGGAATTGGTTTCAGAATGCTGACAGGGTTAGAGCTCGGTCAGACACTAATTGTGATGACTGGAGCACTTAATTTTTTTATGTCCTAATTGTCACATTAAAAAAAAGGATAACAAGATTACCACCTTTACAAGGATGTTGTAATATATGCAACAATGCATGTAAAAGCTCTCACCATACTATACAGTCTCAATAAAAATTTAGGTTTTTAGCCGGACTCGGTGGCTCAGCCTGTAATCCCGCGCCTTTGGGAGGCTGAGGTGAGTGGATTGCCTGAGCCCACAGGTTTGAGACCCGCCTGGGCAGTGAGACCTCACCTCTACAATAAATAAAAAAATCAGCTGGGCGTGGTAACGCGCGCCTGTAATTCCAGCTACTCGGAAGGCTGAGGCAGAAGGATCGCCAGATCCCAGCAGGCGAGGCTGTGGTGGCCGGGAGCGGCCACTGCACTCCAGTCTGGCGACAGAGTGAGACTCCAACTCCAAAAAAAAAAAAAAAAATTTAGGTTTTCAATGAAGTTTTTTTGCAAGAATAGTGGTATGTAATAAAATATTTACTTGGATTGGTTCCTGGAAGGTAAAGTGCAATTCTTCAAATTTCCTGAGTGATTAGAATGTCTGCTATTTATGGTGGGACCCACAGACTCCACCTGATAGTTTATGCTAGTGAGGTGGCTCATAGTGCCCCCCAGATTATTTATGCTAGTAAGATGACTTAGAAGGAGGGGTGGTCAGCCCAGGAAGACCAAGCATGTGATCAGAATTGGGGCTTTAAGCCACAAGTATGAGCTCAACTTCTGGAGGGAGGAAGGAGGCCAGAGACTGTTCAACCATGTGACCAATGATTCAATCAATAGTGCCTATGTAATAAAACCTCAGTAAAAATGCTGGACATTGAAGTTCAGGTGAGCTTTCTTGGTTGACAATATTTTTTCTATTGTCACACATTGATGTGTCCAGAAGGTACTGCATCACTGAAAATGAAGGATGCTTCACTTTTAAAACCTTTTTTTCCATGTACCTCTCCCTTTGGCTCATTCTGATTTGTATTCTTTTCCTGTAACAAAGATGAAATTATAAGTCTTATCTTTTGGCTGCCGTGTTTCCTAACTTTGGCCCCCTCCCCTACCTTGGGAAGGTGAATTGCCTCTCTCTCTCTTTTTCTCTAATTTACTTTCTAAATAAACTTTGTTTTCCAACCTAAAAAAAAAAAGTTGTGCTTTCTTGAGTTTTGTGAATCATTCTAGCAAATTATCAAACCTGAGAGAATCTGTGGGGACCTCAAATTTATAATCAGTTTGTCAGAAGTGATGACAGCTCTGGGAATCTCCAAACTTGTGACTAGTATTTAAAGTGAGAGCAGTCTTGGGGAGAACTTAACCTAGATGTTTGGTCCGACTCTGGATATGTTGCTTAAGCATGCGTATAAGAAATTTAGATTTATGTAAAAGATAAGCTGGGAGAAATATTTGATATTATAGTATTGAATATGGCCTCATTGAAAGACCTAATAAGAATATAGTGACCAGTTTGTTTTTGTATTTGTCAAATATGATTTGTTTATAGAAATATTTTTTAGCAAATTTTCAGAAACATCTTCATAGAATAATGTAATGAAAGAAAATACATTTAATACCTAAAATATTTTAGATATAAATATAGGTTAGACATTTCCAGGTTACCTTACAAAATCTTAATGCTGGTTCTTTGTCTTTTGTTTATGTACAAGTAATTTGATTACCAAATAAGTCAGCAACTTGCCACAGTTCACACAGATAATTACGGCAGTTTGGATTTGAGAGCTTTGAGAACTGGAATCAAATCTCACAAAATTCAGTTTAGCACAGGGCCTGTACACAGTAAATGTTCAATATATGCTGTAGCTTAACTTTCTCATATAATTAAGAAAAGGGCAGTGTTTTATATTGTCAGTCATCAGTCAAAGATTGGTAGGTTTGTTCCTGGAACTCTACTGTAGTTATCATTGTATTTTTCGTGCTTAATTTTATTGTTTCCCTGTGCCCCTGGAAATTTCATGAGAGCTTAAAAATGTTTATCTTGCTTGCTACAGTATTTCCAATATCCAATATAGTGCCCGGAACAGAATGGGCCCTTGATAAATATTTTTTGATTGAAGAGTTACTAAGAGGAGTTTCTAATTCTTAGAAGATAATTTTTCTTTGTAGTTTAAAAGCAAGTAAATTAAATTTGCTCTAAGAGGAAAACCAACACTTAAAAAAATATTAAGTGTACATTTCAATGTATAGAAGAATAACTTTGTGATAATTTACATAAAATAAGCAAAAGTAAATTAAAATAAAATGTAAGCTATATTGACATTTTAGATCAAGTTTGAAAAAGTCTGGATTTAAAATACAGCCGAAGGCATTTTACTGTGACAGCTAATCACTGTTGTCATTCTGTCTGATTTTTTTTTATCAGCACATGCAACTAAAGTACTTTAATACTCGCATCTGAATTTTTCTGATTGTTTTCTCTGACCAAAATCTCTACTGGGAAAATTTTCCAAGAACATTTGTTATTCAACTCATGATTTCTCCTTAGTTGCATAGAAAACCAAAACAAGGTATGTGGCAAATCATGGGGAAAAAAGATCATCCAAGTATCTAACCCTCCTGTATTTATACAATATTACCATCTATCTTACCTTTTCTGAGGACTGTCTATGCCAGCTATGAGGCAGTATTGAATATGGCCTAATTGAAAGAACTAATAAGAATATAGTGACCAGTTTGTTTTAAAATACTCTAAAGAAAGACAGCAGAAAGGGTCTCATGAGAAGTGACATTCTGTAATTACCTCCTCCTATCAAAAGAAAAACAATTCCCAGAAATTAATGAATACAGCAAGAGTCTATTTCCTATCTTAATTCTATCTTAATTGCAAAAGTGGATCAATTAAAAAAAAAAAACAACACACTGGCAAAGCCTTCTCTTAAGGTTTGGTATCCCAGTTCCCTAGTTATCAAATCAATGTATAAAAGCATACCATGAACCTATTTTTACCTTCTGAGATGAGATATACCAACTTCACCAGAAGTGCCCCTGTGAAACACCCAAAGCCATTGAATAGTGTCAAAAAATTCATAGAGGTTCCTCTGATGGTTCTTGGAACAAATCTGTATGATATTACAGAGACTAAGAGAAAAAAGAGAAGGCCAAAAGTTAGAACAGTCTCCCTAAAACACTTTCATATATATTGTTCACATTAATGTTGATCATACATCAACGAAAATTTACTGATTCAGTCAAAATTTGGTTCAACTTTAAAATTACTATAGTGAAATATATTATGATACAACGTACAGATTCTTCAAGGAATAAGATCTGGCAAAATATACCCTTATACACCTGTGAGGAGAATATGATTTCTTAGTGGTTGAGTGTCCTGATATATTCGCCAACATTTCACATCAATTTGAACATTTCTGATAAATTTTAGATTGAGATGAGGCTTGCACTAGATAATATTAAGACAATCTAGCCATTCTGGGTAAATCATTAGGTTCCTTATGGAAAAATTTGTATTTATCATATAAAAATTTACACACAGGTTAAGAGCATGGGCCCTGGAATTAGAAAAATTTGTGCTAAAATCCTATGTCAGCCATTTACTATCCCTATAATTTTTGGTAAGTGACTTAAGATTTCCAAGTCTCAATGTCTTCCTCTATGAAATGGAATTATATTCCTCACTTGCTGAGATGCTGGAACACTTACCTGCTATGATATATGTAAAGTGCTTAGTATAATGCTGACTTGCAGATCCTGAATAAAGATTAGATATTTTTAGCAATATTAATCTGACCAAATCAAGTCGCTCCTACTTGTACAAGGCATTGTACAAGGCCCTTCATCTGCTTTGTCTCATTTAGGGAGGGGATATCTAGAGAGAGAGAATAGTTTAGCTATTGGATCTTCAAAATGGTTATCTTTGCTTCCCAAGTCATTGTTGGGGTACTAGTAATGATGGTGGCAATAGGTTAAAAAATTACAAAGACTTTTAAAAAAATTTCAATTAAAAAAATATTTGAAATCAGTCATAGATGAAAATAAGTATATATGATGTTGTATGTACCAAATTAACATAACTATATTAAAATATGCATGGCCTTCTTAGGGATACATGTTAAAATATTTGATATTTATTATAGTATGATATCTGGGATTCTCTTCAAAATTCTATAACAGGAAGGAAAAGGGTATGTGATGGAGGGTAGAAATGAAACACATTTGGCCATGAGTCAAGAATTGTTGAAGCTAGAAGATAGATGCATGGGAGTTTATTATACTAATCTCTACTGCATATGTGTGGCAAAAAACTGTAAGGAAATATATTAAATAATATTAACAGTCTTAGCTTTAAGTAGGTGAATTATTGGATTTCTAATTTTCATCTTACTCTTTTGTGCTTCACAAATCTTTCTATAATGAAATCATAAATAAATATTAAAGCCCATTTTGAAAAGAAAAAATGATGATAGAAAACAGATGTATAGTCGTGTGTCGCTTAACAACGGGGATCTGTCCTGAGCAATGCATTCTTATATCACAGAATATACTTACACAAACCTAGATGGTACAGATGCCTAGACCATGTGGTGTAGCCTATTGTTCTCAGGTTACAAACCTGTGCAATGTGTTACTGTATTGAATACCAAGGGCAGCTGTAACACATGGTAAGTATTTGTGTATCTAAACACATCTAAATAAATAAATGGTACAGTAAAAATACAGTATTATAATCTTATGGGACCACTATCACATGTGGTCCTTTGCTGACCAAAATGTTGTCATGTGATACATAACTGTTGTTAGTGTTTATGTGTAAACACTAAATCTTTTGTTTTCTTCTCTATAAGAAAAAAGAATATTACCTCCTCCCTTCTTTCTCAGAAATACTTCACCACTGGTACTTTACCTCAGTGAAACCCTGCCTTTGCCCAGCACTTTTACATGAACTTACCAATACATAATTTAAGTGTATTAATGTTCCTTCCTGCATAAACTTTTCTGTTTAACCATCTGTGTGTCCTCCACAAGTTTTTATTTATTCATTCAATAAACATTTAAAGGAGTCTCTATTTGTGCTTTAGGAAAGTGCTGAATTCTGGAGCCAAGAGGTGGAAAAAGGTATCAGTTTCTCTTATCTGGACTTTTTACTCTGGATGGGTGGAGAGCAGAAATAGTACATTTCAAAAGTTAGTGCCAAATGGGCACTTATTTCACAAATTCTGATAAGAGATGATGCTAATAATGGTGATAAATACAATCCTTTGGAGAAGGGCTTCAAATATTGGTGGCATGCTACCATAGCTCTTTTGTGTAAAACCAATTACCAGCAGGAGCCCGAGGCCAAGCCTTGGAATATTTTCAGGAGCATGAGAGTTACCTTGAAGAGACTTTGGGAAGAAATGATTCACAGTTATAAAAAAGGATTTGGCTAATAAACTTTCCTCTCTATAAATATGAGGAGGCAAACAATGAGAAGAAAGAGTAAGTAGGCCTATTTCTTTCACTAAGAAAAGGCAGAACGTACAAACCCATTATTACTCTGCTAGTTAATTATTAATCCTATGCCTTCCTCTTGCTAGAACTTCTGGTATGGTATATAATTCATGAACACACTTGGCCAGCTCTCTGCCTGATGGTTAATCTCTCTTTGGTGTCATTTTAGTCGTTTTCGAAAGCCTCTAGTTCCCTTTTATAGGACTTAGCTTTTCAAGTCCTCAAATCTTTATTTTCAAGCATCTACTTGCATGTCTGATCTTTTGCAACTTTAGTGATCATTTTAATTTTTTTTTTAGGCTCCAAGATACTTGTTTTAACTTATGGTAGTATAGATAATATCACCAGGTTTGTCACTACTCTAAAATTCTCATTTTACTATGAAGACACAATAAAAAATATTCAATGTGCTTGTGAGAGCTGATCTTCTTGCCAATGGGAGCTAAAAATGTGCCTCCAGGTAGTTGCTGATTAGTGTTTGCAAAGATGCCACATCACAGCATATGTAGAATCTACAAAATATAGGGCCATAACCAACTTCCTAAGGCACCTGGTACTGAGGACTTATTGCTGGATTTTTTCGTTTATTGTTTACTCTAGTTGCTCTTAAACAGTTAAAATGTGTTTATTGTGTTGGTGAGAAGTTGTTTTGAACATGCGGAGAAGTACCACAGTCCCAGAATATAGAACTTTATCCTGTTACCACTTTTAGATCGTTTATTTTTTCTCCTTTAAAACACTTCAGCTTTGACTCTCATGTTATCAGATGACATCGTCTATTACTTCTCTTCTGAGCTGTCATCTGCCAAACTCTAGGATATTCCCCTCTCATTGTCAAGCTCTCCAGTACTACACTTGCCTTCATTCTTGGCAGTCTTAACATACATGTAGATAATTCTTCCAACTTTCCATTCCTCCAAATCTTAGCTGTTAGGGAGTGTATATTTTCATGGTGAGAGGCAGGCAATACACACACACACACACACACACACACACACACACACACACACACACACACACACAAAATAAGGTAATTTCAGATTCTGACAAGTGCTATTAACAAACAAACAAACAAAAAGAATGACATAATGGAATAGAAAGTGATGGGATGATCAGAAAACCTCTCTAAGGGATAACTCAATAACGGGAAGAAGCCAGTCACTGGAAAATAGAGGAAAGACAATTCCAGGTAAGGAGAAGAGAAAGTGCAAGGGCCTTGGGACAGGGATCTTAGAAGCACACACATTTTTAGAGAGTAGACAAGGGGCAGAATATAACAAAATGCAGTTGGAACAATATGCAGAGGACAAATCAAGTGAATTCTTATTCACCATGGTAAAGAATTTATCTTGAATACCGTATTGCAGATTCTTAAGTAGGGGAATAGGAGGTTTTATGTTTTGGAAAAAGCATAAGAGCTATTTTTAAATTATTTTACTTTATTTTATTTTTATTATAAAGATGTAGGGTACAATTCAGGGTTAGGTATCCAAACGCTGATAATGCAGGTACCCTTGTTGATGAGGTATGCCCCTCCCTCCCTTAGCAGTTTTCCTCAACTGCCAATCCCACCCTTCCTCTCCTGACAGTTTCCCACTACTGCCAATCACTTTCTTAGAGTATTATACTTCTTCAAGGTCCGCTTATGAGTGAGAACATATGGTACTCTGTTCTTTGTTTCTGTGATAGATCACGGAGTATGAATGACTCTAAATCCATACGAGTTGCTGCAAAGTCCATTTGTTTGTCCTTCTTTATGGCTGCATAATATTCCATTGTGTATATGTATCACATTTAAAAAAATCTAGTACAGCTTTGATGGGCAACATGGTTCGTTTTATGTTTTGCTATTGTGAATAGAGTTGCAACAAATATATGTGTGGAGGTATCTTTTTTGTAGAATGATTTGAGATTCTCCGGGTATATTCCCAATAGGGGAATTGCTGGGTCATATGGAAGGTCGATTTCTATTTCTTTCAGAAACCGCCACACTGTCTTCCAAAAAGGTTGGACTAGTTTGCATTCCCACCAGCAGTGCAGAAGGGTTCTTTTTTCTCCACATCCTTGTCAGCATCTGTTGTTTGTTTTAATAATGATGGCCATTCTTACTAAGGTTAGGTGGTATCTCAATGTGGTTTTGACTTGCATTTCTCTGATGATGAGGGAGGCTGAGCACTTTTTCATGTGTCTGTTGGCTGCCTGTATATCTTCTTCTGAGAAGTGTCTATTCATG